ATTAAGGAGCCATTTCATGATCTAGCATTCAATAGTCACGAACCAATATAATGTACTCTCCAAGAAGATTATTTTTTATTTTTTAAATTACACATAAAGGTAGTACCTACCCGCGCTGACACACAATACGCCACATCAACTTTCCAATCAGCAAATATCATATTCTAGAGGAGAGCGAGTTCAATAATCTAATTGATACCGTAACTCAGGGTATTAAGGAACCATTTCATGATCTAGCATTCAATAGTCACGAACCAACATAATGTACCTGATTCTTGAAGAAGATTTTTTTTATTTTTTAAATTACACAAAGGTGGTAACTACCCGCGCTGACACACAATACGCCACATCAACTTTTTACGTACACGTAACACGTATTCATGCTTTATTCTTTAAATTTTTGCGTTTTTAAATTGCTATTACGTCGTTGTGGGATACTATCTATTGAAGTCGTCGTGGCCTAAAGGATAAGACGTCCGGTGCATTCGTGTTGAGCGATGCACCGATGTTCGAATCTCAAGCGGGTACCAATTTTTGTAATGAAATACGTACTCAACAAAATTAAAAGTTCACGATTGACTTCCACGGTGAAGGATAATACCGTGTAATAAAAATCAAACCCGCAAAATTATAATTTGCGTAATTACTGGTGGTAGGACCTCTTGAGAGTCCGCGCGGGTAGGTGCCACCACCCTGCCTATTTCTGCCGTGAAGCAGTAATGCGTTTCGGTTTGAAGGGTGGGGCAGCCGTTTTAACTATACTGAGATCTTAGAACTTATATCTCAAGGTGGGTGGCGCATTTACGTTGTAGATGTCTATGGGCTCCAGTAACCACTTAACACCAGGTGGGCTGGGAGCTCGTCCACCCATCTAAGCAATAAAAAAAAGTACTACTAATATATTAGGTAATTTGCAAAAAATTATGATTTCAATTTGATTTTTGTGTTTAATTGACTGTTCAACTTATATACTAATATTAGTTTCGTTATATATTATGAATATAAGATTACAGCAGTCTGATTTAACTATAAAATCATATATCACACAACGACAAATTCCTAACCCAAATATGTACATTATAATTCTATATTCCAAATTTACAATGGACAAATCTAGTCTTCTCTATATATTTTTTCTCTCTAAGATAATTTTATCTGTGTAAGTTGTATTAACTATAATTAAGTCTACACGGTACAACAAAATTTTCTCTCCTTTACGCTAAAGTTGAAATTGGTCCCGCCTTCATGTTGTAAAGCAATTAATAAAAGCCACCAATCAACCTGAATGGGCCGGTAAAGAGAAAATTAAGGAGACGCTCGACCTCGGTTGCTCATTACGGAGCTGTATTAAAAGCAAAGGCCCTTCTGATAGAATATGCATTTTTACGAGCGCACGAGGCGCTTTCTCGTGCATGTTTGATGGGTGCAATCACAGCGCCAGCCCGCCCCACCGAGCGAGCCACCTGTGCCGCTTCTCGGGTCGGCCTTAGGGATTCTTCGACAGATCTTCAACAATATTATTTCCTCAAATCTTAACTAACTAATTTAAAATTGTTATTCCTTCTTTTTGTTCCGGAATTTACCGTATCATTTGCCCTAGTGCACTTTGTTTTTTTTTTCTTTCAACAAATGAATTTTTGTTTTTTTTTTTAATTTTCGTCACTTTAGATAACACTTTAATGTGGCTGTCATTATGTAGGCTTATGTGTATTACAGAAGGGCGGGGTAGAGTTGGGAGAGCAGGGAGGGAGTGCTGTAATCAAGAAGAGTACCCCCGTCCCCAGACACAAGCCTCCGTCCCCTCTCCCCGTCTTTGCGAGGGCAATGCCTCAAAACCTCTATTGACTTACCGTTCGACAAAGAAATATATTCACGTTTTCTTTCTTGATGTAAAAAAGAAACAATTTAAAAGTACAATACGCTTATTGATTTTCTGTGGGCGAATACATTTATTTACTAAATTATTAAAGAAAAATTATTTTCTTATTGTCTTAATAAGTACTAAACATTTTATTTCACTGAATATACTTATGAAATTATACGCAATCATGTAGTACCGTATATACTCGTAGTATAAAATGTAAAATGACAATTTGAAAACCAGCGTCAACTTTGTGATACTTCTAAATACTGTTAGAAATAACAGGAAAACGCTGTCCAATTAAAACTTGGAATAAAATAAAATTATGGTAGTCATACACGAAATGCTTTCTAATATCCAACATTTGTGCCAACAATTGGAGTGTAATCCACGGCTTTTATCGAACAACAAAAGTTGACCTGTCGTATCGTCTGGTCCGTGTGATATAATGGACTGATTTTAGGGTTGCGAGGAAAGCAATGACAAGCCGAAGTCCCCACAATACATCGTCGAACTCTGTTATGTTTGCGTACAGGCACCTCAATTATATTGCATTATGAGCTGTACCTCTTTCTAATACGGATTATATTCCTATCGAGTGAAAGTAAAAATTTGGCAAGAAATCAGTTGCCATGTGCATCCTGGGCCGCATGGCGCGCTGACAGCACCATGCTATTATAATTAAACTCACTGACACTGACTTACTGATCCTTAAAAAAAACGTGAAGTCAACAAGGTAAAACAGCAATCATTGTTTAGTTTGAAAATGTATAAATAATAGCGTTTTAATTGTGTAAATTGTGGTTGCAAGGTAATGTAGGGAGTCGACATGATTTCCACAAAATTAGGTCACAAAAAATTATCTAGCACTCAACTCTTAATTCTTATAGAGTTACCCAAAAACTATATTACATTCTGTTTTTTAAGGCAAGGTCTCTATCCTGATTTCCGTTTCTTGGATCAATTCAAGCACCGTGAACATTTAGTTATTACAATAATTAAAATTCAGCACATAAAGTCGCAAATCGAGCTATTAAGCGATATAATAGCTAATACCATTAAGCGATAAATGCAGCGAGCCGCGTATGAATAATTCCATTGGATGGATACAATGTACGGCTTTCGCTAAACGGCTCCATATTTTCAAAATCCCTACAGAGCAATAATATTCAATGAGTTTTGTGAGATGGCTTTATTGTGTGTCCGTTGGAGTGACAGAGAAGTCTTATGAGGGACATTGCATGGCAAATCCTGGAGATTAGCGAGACGAGAGCGACATGTGGCCACCCGGCACTTAGCACTCCCTGCGTGCGTGCCCTCCTCGGAGTCCCTACTCGTACATACCTACACAAAGTTACGGTGAAATCTATGTGTCACTTTGAAAATTATGCTTAGAAAATACTTTTGAAATACCGAATTATACCTGTTCATCTTTATTCTACATTTTAGTTATCTATTGCCGAAAATAATAATCCCAGTTATTTTACAAGTAGTTCTAACGCTACAATAATCTGTCCGGCTGCGCATATGCAACTCCAACTTCCTCTGGATACTACTCCTACTTTGGTATTATCCTTACGGATTGGTGGTATACCTACCTACCTTGATTCTTCTGTTACTTCAAGCGAGATAACAATGTCAATTCAGGGCGAGCATTCACGTGGTGGCGAGTACTACATCAGTTGAGCACTTATGGTAGGGTATAATATCATAAGCTCACACGGATTGCTACCACCGTAACCGTATTTGTCGAGCTCCCTATACTCGTCAAAGTCATTCTAAGTAAGCCCATAGGCTTAGCTTGAGTTTCTCGGCGGATCTTCTCAACGGTCACGATTCCGATCAGGTGGTTTTTAGGCCTTCGTTTAGCAACTGCCCCTGAGCTACTAGGTCTACTATAGATACGTTTGGGATGCTGTTAGCAAGCTAGGGAGGGGGCTCCGGCCCACTCAGCCTGGTGAAGCCGGAAAGGCCTACGGAGCACAAACAACTCCTAGATCCCAAAAATCTACCAAATAATATATAACAAAAATATGCAGCAGAATAAATAGGAAATACATGACGATTTCTAAGTTTATAATGTTCATTGTCCCAATGTAATTATGAGTACGTCCTTCACGTTCCTATGATGTTGTCAATGGCGGATCCAGGGGGGGGGTCATGGGGGTCATGACCACCCCCTGAGCTGGTTCCAGGACTTAGGTGGACCACTAATTTAATATAATGATTTTATTTATATATTTTGTCACCATACAGATTTTATGTAACTACATACCTTCAATATTTAATTAATTTAATATAATATAATAACTTTGTATAATGGCAAACGTTTGGGAACGAACGGATCTAAATTTGACTCTGTGACCCCCTCCTGGCGCCAAAGCTGGATCCGCCCTTGGATGTTGTTACGTTCAAGGGCTCTGTTATTGCAACAACAAATGTGCCTATAGCATGTCTCATCTATATACATAGGTATAGAATAGCCTGTCGGCCGTGGTTTATCATTTTCACGGCCTAACTAACTTTGATCTCACCCCTTATTCCAAAAAATTAAAAAAAGGATCAACGCCGTCGTACACTAGAAACAATCTATGCAGCAATTTCAAAATGTAACCTTATTTTTAATATACACTTATTGTATGTAGTATTTCCTTCTCTTATCGCAAATCGTAGACTTCATCAAAACAAATTTTTACGTTTCATCCTCGCTTTCTTTACGATAGACAGTGTGTGACCACGAAAACTGTAAAGTATTCAAAACGTCGGAAATAATAACAATACAAAATGCGAGAATAAACCGTAAAAGCAGTTTTAATTACACACATTTATTAGCTTTGATGTGTCTATCTATGTAACCGATAGTTTTTCAACATCATTTTCACTAACCTCAAGACGTCCGATTGAAACTTGAAAATCTGTACACATATCAAAAACCGATGTCAATATATTTTTTTTATAACTTTGATTATTATTTGATTTAAAAAAATGAGACTTAATATTTTTAGTATCGCTTGTTATTTATTTATTTAACAGCGTTTCTTATATCTTAACTACATTTACTAATTTTCTTACGGACGAAGCTATGCAAAGTATAATAGAACAATCAATAAAAGTTAATGGAACTCGAAAAACGACTATACCTGCAACGTTACCCATAATAATAACTGTTATCTGCTTTCGCATCAAATTAAAAAAAAATCTAAAGTACTGTTACAATTTCAAGTAGAAACATATCATGCACTAGATAGGTACACTTTCGTCTATAAAGATGATATGGGTAATTTGCAAATGGACGGATGACAAGTGCTTTTTAAATTCACAAATGAATGAAACATTTGTCATTGAGTGGTTCGTACAAAGGGAGTTGACAACAAGTGCTTGTACTATATTCATTAGTACAGCGATCCGATCTTTATTTGGGCGCGGTGTGTGTAGTACCTAGCCTGTATCTAAGGTCGCTACGGGTCACTTGGACTGTGGGCCCATTCGGTGGCATCGAAGCGTGTCGGCTCATAGCACTACCGATGCGACGCCATATGTTGCGCGCATTATCGCTCTGTGTTCGCTCCGCACCCCTTCAAGATTGATGACGATTCACTTCCATGAATGCATTCAAATTTATTAAGCCATGTAAATGTTATGCAATCACTTAGCCAAATAGCTCGCGAAATTTTGTTCAAACCTATAAAAGTTATCACTTTTTATTATTACGAAGCTTAACCTCAATATCTGCATATTGTTTGAAGAATAATCATTCTTTCCAGTGAAATAATTTTGTGAATTTCACACACTGTTTTTAAAAAAACATTGTGTCTTCACATGTCTGGTTGGCTTACATAAAGGCTCGTTAAGGTATTCTCACCGTCTTAATCGAGACAGCGCAGATCGTTGTCAGGCCGTTGAACCTCAATTAGCTATTCTCTTCATTTCATTAGGTTGTTCTCGCAAGTAAATTTTCTCAAGAGTAGCGCGCAGTCCTGCAGTCTCCCGCTTTGTTAACACAAGGAAGGAGCTTAAATTATTAAATTATCTGATTTCTCCATGACGCAGTTAGTCTTTGAATTCATGTATTATTTTCAAGAATGGTAACTTTTCTCACTTTCTCTACGATTTATTACTCGATTTGAGTGTAGATAATAATTTTGCTTGAATTTCAAGACTAGTTAATTTCTCATCAACCAATGTAGCGATAATTTTATGGTCAACATATTGTTTGGTATATATAGTTGTATTTTCCAATGATAAAAAACAACTACGGCGTTGAGAGCATGTCGTTCGTTTTGTTGGGTCGTTTTCACCCTTGTTATGCCGACAAAACGTTTGGCACAAAAAGTGTAATGGTGTTTAGTAATGACCCCCTCCCGGCGGAGAGCAAATACAAACTGCGCCAACCCGCTGAGAGATGGGACTTTTGTTTTCATTGCCGGTACTTACAATCAACAGTATTGCGTAAATACTGGCCGATAATATTTTTCGGTTTAGTACACAAGATGTCAGTTAAGTTTTCCCGAAACAAAAAAAGGGAAATGAATACTAACATTGGACCAAATAAAGGCTATGTTAATTTGTTAATTCATACAAAAATAAACAAAGACAAAACGATTCAGTTCCTTTTTTTTGTGTGTGTATCAACTTTTTGTTTGTTTGTTTAGAAACGACTGATGCTTTATCAAGCTTTTTTATCAAGGTTTATTAAGAAATAGGTCCTTCGGATACGAGTACCGTTAGTGAAGGCAAATTGTCTGAGATATACTTAAAATGGGCACGACAAAGAAGACAATAAGACTGGTAACACGGTCCACATACGAATCAAATGTAACACTAATGTCGCCCCGGGGTCGGTCCGACCCCAGCGATTCAATTAAAGCGTGGGGCTTACATTGATCTCGGTGAAAACGATACTTGTGAGATATTACTTTATTGTTTTTTCTCGCGTTTAAAAAGTAGCCACGTGCCTTTATTTACTTGATGTAGATGACGGAACTTTTTTTTTTTTTATGATTGAATGTTTACTTGTGGCCCGGAGGCCTTTCCAATTTCACCAGGACAGGTGGGCGAGCAAAGGCTCAGCCAGGAGGGGTGGGATTTGCTAATAGCCCGAGAGCCCGTGGGATCTACCTGTATGTATTTGACCAGACCTGAATTTTCGTACATTGAGACCCCTATACCTACCATGCATGAGGTGGGGACTCACTAAGCTCAAAGTGGTCGACGCGCCGAGCGCTCAGGTAGGACAGGTACCGATTTTGACGGATTTTAAATCCATTTGACCACGTCTGCCGTTTTGAAATTTTGAAAATATATGATTATTATTATCGGAAAATAAGAATGGCAGACCATTATCGCGCATTTTACTTTGTGGCAGACCACTTTGAAAATGCTAAATTGCATTGAAAATGCAAAATTTTGAAAGTAATTGACTAGATCTGCCATTGATTTAATAATATGTTGTTTATTATAGTCTTAAAAACTTATATTGATCACGGCAGACCTCTACATTGCGTACATACATCAACATATAATAAAATCTTAGCTACTACCCGGCCAGATGTATATTATGTTTTCCGTTCACTGTTTTAGAGGAATATAATTTACTTGCGATTTACTTTAGCAATGTATTTACCGAAATTAATATTTTTTTATATTCTATATACTAAACTTCATTAGTTAGACAATAAAGA